CCCGGATTGTTGGGGGCAATATGCTGACTCTGTAAACCGCTTAGAGAGGGCTGAAAGCCCTATGAAGCAGTATATAAGTCTAACTGCTATTGCTAAAGCTGTCTGGGTGGCTCATGACCACTTCTTCTCTCTCAGCTCCCCCACCTCACACAGTTGGTGTTGTAGAGTAAATAGGAGGAAGGACATTAAGTATGTTCCCCAGATTGAATTATTTTATAAAAAAATAATAAAGGTATGAGATTAAAGATAATAGGGAAGAATGGACAGCATTTCTTCCTACACCGATTCAGTCTCTCGATTTCTACAAGGAGGATGAAATAAGTACTGGCTGTTGCCTCTTAAATGCACTTCATAGAATTCCTCAGATGTTTTATTAGTCGCCGCCTTTATCCACAGCCAGCTCGAAGTCGGCTCAGCATAATCAACACAGCATTTATTCCAGGCATTCAGACTACTGCATAGGATTAAAATTCAGTAGTGCCACATTCCACACTGAGTTTGGTATCTGAAGTATTTGCATGGGAAGCAGCAGCCACTTGGATGGGTTTCGTGCTGAAGGCAGGACTCGAACTCACTGTGCTTCTGGTTTCTAGCATGGTGCCTAAGACCAAAGAGAATCCAAAGCTGATTATTCAAAAAATAATCTTTAATACTCATTTCATTGCTGCACTGCAGGCTTTTTTCATCAGTAAAATCGCAAGAACAGCAAATTGAATGGCAATCCGTGTCTCGTTTAAAATCCCTCTTATTAAAAAACATGATCCCGTAATGGGATGTGGGGGATAAAATTTAACCGAAAACGGAGAATTAAGAAAAAACAACAACAGGGGGCTGCAGGTACTTTGAATCGGGATTTTAGAAACAAATGCAGTATGAAAAGTGTCATATTAAGGGCTCCTTCGGGGGAACAGCATTTTACAAAGTAAAGAGAACATTAGCCGTGCTTCCCTTAGCAACAGCAGAGTTAAATCAGACCTCATATGGGAGGGGGGAGTGCTGTTGCATAAATAAGAACAAAAGGCCCTTTTTGTGTATTTACCAGCTATTATTCCTTCAGTTTCTAGGACCGAAGTTTTCCTAAAGAGATGGGAGAGGGAGGTGTTGGAATCTGGAATGAGCAGCTGTTTTGCTAGGGTTAAATCCCTGCTGACCCAAAGCACAAATAATAGTAATAAAAAAATTTTTTTTTTCTATTTCAGATCCCAGAGTAAAAGGATGGTTTCTCTTGACGAACTACAGACCTACCTTTATCTTCTCCGTCTTCTATTTATTAACTGTATGGCTAGGACCAAAGTATATGCGGAACCGACAGCCGTTTTCAAACAGGGGAGTTCTAGTGGTCTACAATATCGGGCTCACTCTCCTGTCCTCGTATATGTTTTATGAGGTAAGACAGGAAAAAGTTATGCCTTACGGTAGCTCGAGCGTTGCAGGAGCAGGGGTGATCTTTAAGCCTGCAAGAACAGGACAATTCTTCAAATTAAACAGATTGTCAGAACCTCTCCATTAGATAATTAGGAAAGAAGACCACGAGACTCCATGAGTAGAAATCAAGTGTACTTTTACTAATTATAAATGATTANATCGGGCGCGCTTTAGTCGAGCGCGGTTTTGTCGTGCCACGTACCTGGCCATTTCCTGACCAAACGCTAATTGTGTCCCACCACGCTAAGTCAAAGACAAAAGCCAAAAATCACTTGATTGGCCGTTAATCAATCATCATCGCTTCATTTAAAAAAAAAAAAAGTCTTAGCATTAAACTTTATTATAGCTTATGCTTATGGCTTATGGTTTATTAAACTTGTATGCTGCCCTATTCCCAGAAGGGACTCAGGGCGGCTAACAAACTCATAGGGAAGGGGGGGAAATACAACAAAAAGCAAAAAGACCTTAAAATTTTAAAACAATATTTCTGTAAAAGATGATTGTATTTTCTCTTTTTTATTCCTTCGTAATTTGTAAGAGTGCCAGCTACCCAGAGTCAATAAACATGTGATGGGCAGTCATATTATAAATTGAACTAACGCATAAAGAAATACTTGGGAAGAATTCAACTTTAGAATATTCTTAAAAAGAACCCTTGATCCTATTTTACTGGTTCAACTCAACTTATATCTCTTTTGCCTTGTCAGTAGGCTGCTCTGACAGCTTGAAGGCTTGTAATAAATATGATAGATATCACTATAAACAGTGATAGAGTTTTCACTAGTGGAAAGTATTTTTTTTAATCCAGTCCAGTATTATTTATGCATGATTCTCTTTTGCAAAGCAGAAATCCTCCCAGGTGTTGCACCTGACATTGGAAGGCTAAGGTGAGAGCAGGCCACAGAGCTTTCCCACCATTAGATGCTTCTCAGGTGTATTTTTGACCAACGGGGGTCACCGCCCTTCCCTGTTTACATAGTCATAAGATCAATTAATCAAAATTAATTTGACAAGGTCAGCTCCGCCGGCTTTTAAGTGATGAGGCAGCTTTATATAAAGTCACAGATTGTTCTGCTGCGTTATAGTTCCAGAAGATCAAGCTGCTCCTAAGATTTGTATGAGAGCCCTCCATTAATTTAAATGCTGCAGTGCACTGTCCATTCACCCAAAAAAAAAAAAAGACCCAGGTGATTCAGAATTATTTATAAAGCGGAGAAGAGCAAAAAGTTGAAAAAACACCTCGCTTTAAAAAAAATTTTTTTTAACAAAACTAAACTTAATTAGAAAGCAGGCTGCACCTCTTTCGCTTCACGCCAGTCTTGTGCCAGTGTTTGAAAAAGAGTAGAGATGGTTTCCCCCTCTTATTTATTTATTTATTTATTTATTTATTTAGTAAATTTGAATGGCGTCCTAGCTTGTACACATAGCAATAGCAATAGCAGTTAGACTTATATACCGCTTCCTAGGGCTTTCAGCCCTCTCTAAGCGGTTTACAGAGTCAGCATATC